TTGCCAGGATAATTTTGATGTCCACACATTCTAGGATGACTCATCTGTCTCATTCACTTTTTGAAGTACACATAACTCTCGGATTTAAATCCGAAGTTTTCGCATTTATTTAATAGTAAGATTAGAATTCGTACCTGTTGATTCATAATCTTATGATTCTAAGTATAAATGTAGGCCACCAGAGGCAGCATGTTACTTAAGTGAGCTTTTTTTCACTCAGCTGATTTACTGTCTGTGACAATGTACGTTTATTCTTAGCGTCATAAGGCTAAAAATCATTCCCCTAACTTGCAATAGCCAATTTACCTTTGCTTTATCATTTCACTGCCTGAAATCGAAAATGAATGACGACGATTTTTATTTTAAAGCATATTATACTTAGTATTAATATGTAATATAATAGCATAGATACAATTATAGAACTACAGTATATCAATAAGAATGAATGTGATTTGTACTGACAACAACAAAATGTATTAAAATAAAATTCTTTAGACATTTTATACAAACAAAAAAGCACTATAACTCTGTGCGATTAAATACACTGGAAATTGTTCTAAAAATAAAAACCATAGCCAAGTTCTAATGTTGATTGGACGTGAAACTTTGCGTCGATCAAATGAAATTGCACAAACATCTTCGAAATAACAATCACACTAGTAAAATGTTAGATATTATTATTAACATGCAAAAAAAAACCATTGTTATTCGAACGTGAGAATTAGACATACGATCATCAACTGTTCTCTTAGTGTTTGATCCGGTTTCACTGATTCAACCAAAACATAGCAAGGCAAACTCTGATATATATATCGCCACTTTTTGACCGGTAATATGCCACGGTATATACTAAAACTGTTGACATATTTCCAGTGTACTGACGACAGTTCAAGTACATGTACGAAATGGATAATCAATAGTAGTACCATGAGTAAATGATACAATTCGATTATTCCGACAAAACATTGAACGAAAATATTTGATTAATTCTTTACGAAATGTACGAGATGTGAGTGTGTATAGGTAAAATGATGTAACTGGAAATAAATACAGCATTAATTCTGCTAGAAAACTAAAAAATGATTCAAGAGCTAAATGTTCACTTGATCGATCAGAAGTTGTTATTGAGATTATATTAAACACTAAATTACATAATTGAGGAGTTGTAAATATAATATAACATATAATTTGCACAAATAATATATGAAGAACTTGTTGATCAAGTGGATTTCGTTGATAATTACCTAATGATAGCTGTGTTCGTCTTCGATGTTTATGTGCAAGATTTCGACGAATAAGATATGCGCATATCATCATAATCATTGCTGGTAATATACCACCTCCAATAATAACATAAAGACTATGATAAAGTGCTGCTGTCATATTATTCATAATGCCACAGAATTCACCTTTGATTCCATAAAATATAAGTCTATGAGAACAAATAATTGACCAAAAAATAATAATGATAATGATTATACGATATGCTATTTTCGGTTTAGCAAAATTTCTTAAATGAATTTTTTCAGAAGTTAATGCATAACGATCAATGCAAGCAAAAGCAACAAACCAACGAGAAAGCATTAAACATATTTGAAATATATAACCACGTAGTTTACAAAATAAAAGTGATTCTATTTGTGGATCAGGATTATTAAGACTATACACGACTGGTCCAATACCAACAATTAATGTCATTAAATGATCTACAGATGCTGCCAAAAAGTCTAGAAAAAAAAAAGAACATGTTGTAGAAAGCTAACACTATAATTCAATAATTATTAAAGTGTTTCGGACAGTAACATTGTGTCTGATAGAATCAATTCTAATATTGATACTTACAAATAGAACAAGAAGTTGTTCGTAATTGTGGACGAGAAAAAACGATAAGATTAAGTAAACATCCGATACAGCCAAATGTAAGCCATACTGGATAAACGCAAAGTGTTAGAGTTGTTTGAATCGTAGAAAGCGTATCGATGAAAGATGAAGACGATGACATTATTTTATAATATAACTATCTGTATAAGAGAAATAAAAATAACAAATTATGATAAAAATAGTACTTGAGCTATAAGAAAAAAAATTATGATATTCGCCTTTTGAGTTTAGGAGGAATGAAAGTGAAAAGGTTTGAAAATCTATTTAGTTTCGAGTAGCAAATGCATGTTTGAGAATACTAAGACAATATGTATTTGAAAAATAAAGAAGTTATCGATATAATGAATGTATTTCTAATCATTATATGACGAACGTCATTAGTATGAAACGAGTTTCTCAAATACTTCTTCGCTTTTCTGAAATGTCTTTTTACTTTTAGTAATTCTTTGCTCACAGCTGTCAGAACCATATACTCGGAGTGTTTCATCTTTTACATTACGCATTGCTTATTCCTATTATTACTCTCTATGATTTATATTTCATTTACCTTGAGAGATGCTTTTGTGTTATTAATCGCACTGTTTTTCAGGCGACACGTAGGTCTCAGATATCTGTAAGCTAATTGTTCAAGACTAGCTAATCATTTTTGAAACTCTTTCGACGAGAGAATATCGAACTACAAACAGTTTGGCAGATGTTCATTTTGATCAAATACTTTGCGCTCATTGATATAATTTATATGCACACGGATGCGTGAAAGAGAGGGTGCTCTGATGAATGTAATTAAAGTGAACTTGTTCTAAGAATTATATGAATGATGTATCTTTTGCAGAATTGATAATATTGTTCGAAAATGAAAGAAAAGACACCTAAGGTAATACTTAAGAATGGCTAATCAAAGAAAGTTATGTTGTCTGAAAATTAGTACTTCAAATATACAATTTTGACCTTAAAAGACAATTTTCTTATATTATGAAGAAGATATATTGATTTTAAAAATAAATTTTTTAGATTTATTTTCTGTGAACTTATTTATTACGATTACTTTGTTTGTTTATTTTTTCTAATTTATGTATTGCTTGTTCAAAAAATGGAGAAATGATATGATGCAGTTATTAGTGAAGCAAGGAATAATTGATTTTGTTTTGTTTCATTTTTATCGAATACTCTAGTAATATTAATAAATAACAGACTGCTTTTTTTGTGATCCATATGAGAATTTTCAAGCCGAATGAAATCTTTGTAAAAGTATTCCTATCGAATACAAATGCATTCATGCATAATTTTCATCAATATCAATATAAACACGTCTGAAAGATTACATTGTTAGTCAAGAGAAGTATATGTAAAAAAGTTTTTTTTAGTTACACTCACACGATATAAAGGCAACATGCAGTTTGATGAATTGAGAAAAATTATTATAAACTTGTCCAAACATTTTATAGACACAAAATAATTTCTTTAAAAACATGTTCTTTTTTAATGTCATACATCCTATACTTCAACATGCAACAGCTTCTATTCATTTCAAACAAGGCATGATATTTCAAATACATTCTGTCAAAGTTCATTATCTTATGCCGAGGAAATATAGAAGCAATAATGAAATTAAATACAGTATGGACCATAAGTAATAGTACGATAAAATATTAAAATATCTTCGCATTGATTCCAGATAAATGCGTACGAGTCCGTTGTACTAATAATTAGGACACGTTATTTGTTTATGTTTTATCTGTTCCATTATGTGATAGCATTCGTTTACCATCTGGCTAGATGCTCTGATCTCATGAACAATGGTAGATGCCTGTTTACTCTGTTAATTTTTGGTCCTTTGGCTACGGTGTGTTTTTATACCAGCAAGAAGTCATTTGTTTTTCTTCTAAAAGCTTGAAGCAAGACACATATACATGCATGGCCATAGTAGACAATAACGCTATGATTCTGGTAATACGAGAATACTTCTATGACCTGATTAACCAGCAGAGTTCTACAGAGTAGATAGGGTTATTACACGACCATTAGCGTAACTACCACGCTGACTTTTCGAGTGATACCTTGGAAGTGAAGTACTTTGCTTCAGAAGTAAATACCTTGTATTGTACGTATAAAAACATTCTATCTCTGTATTGTTCCGTGACATACTGTAGTATGCCTCAAGAGTTATAACTTTTCGTTGTGCCATTAAGTAGAACCCTTATAGAGTAGGTTAGAGCATGAAGTGTAAAAAGATCATCAAGCAAAATAAAGTATGAAAAATCATGTCTTGCAGCACTCTACTTTTAAATGAAAAAGTTTATCAGTGCAACAGAAGTAATTAGCTCGAGTAAGGTTCAACCCGTATATATTCAGGCCCCGTAACCAAAGGGTTAAGCCTGTCCTTTATCCAGTCTTTTCTCACTTCTCCCTTTCTTGTATATAAATCCGTATTCTTTATGAAATAGACACAACTGAAATGATAAAGTAGTGTTGTGAATATTTACATCGAGAATGGCGATAATACGACTCATTCGGTTTATCTTTGTTGATCACAGTACAATATGCAGTGTATTGGTGAAGAAATAAACAATCATTTCTCTCTAACTTTCGTAACATCGGTTCCAACCAGTAACAAATAGCAGTCATCGAAGAAATACAAAGACATGCTGACCCAGAATACTACTTTCACATTCCCGTGATTTGTAGTGTTTTCCGACCAAATACTATAATTTTCTTGTGTATCTTCGACTAGCACCACCGACGAAATGCGCTTGTTTCTGGATGTTAGAATCATCCCACTGGAATTCATTTAAACGAACTAACTTTTTGATGAGCGACCGATATTTATTCAAAGTTTTTTTTATGGGATTCATGCAAGCAAATATGGCAATTAAATGCTATTGTTGAGCTCGTTGACGGAATCTTACCTACTGTGAGGTAAGAAAAATATATGTATAACGTCTCATGACCAAGATTACGATCATTGTTAAAGATCGTATATAACATCGTAAACAATTGTGTACGACTGTATACGCTTGCTTTTCCAAGGTATACGATCGTATTTTGCCCTGATACTCGACTTCAGAATTGCGACGACATAGTAAGCCATTGTATTCATATAAGCTTCGCCTCAGTCAATAGAAGAGATACTCTTTCGGTTTCTTCCGCTCCCCTCGATCCAGAAGTAGACGAAAGGTTACTTATTTATGTAAAATGAGCAGTTATTACTCAATCTGCTGTTCGAGTTAATCTGAATAAAGAAATAAAAATCTTTATTGAAAATAAATATTGCTTAATCGGCTATTTCCACTGATATAAATACAGAAATAAAATTGGTTTTCTCAAAGAAAATTCACATAATTGAATTCGTTAGTGAATTCAAAAAACAAAGTCTTTGATAAGTATAACTTAACTCATGAATAACTTACGACTATATGCGATTGCGCACAACACTTGTTGATCTTCAGCAAATACGTCACTCATATTTAAATGTATAGTGTCCAATACGTTCATGATATACGACAACCGTTTTTCACGTATTTCATTCAATTTAGGCCTTTACGATAGTGTCTTTTCTACCTGACAACGTTCCGAAATAATTTTCAGTTGTCATCTAAGCGAATAAAAGAACAAATCAAAGCAAACTTTATCATTGATAATACATGGATGCAAAAAACTATGTTCTATGCTTGAAAATTTGCAATATTATAAACTTTAAAATTTACACTAACCAAACCTGATAATTTTCTCTACATGCATCAATATAACATAATTCATAAATTTTGTTTTGACTTCTTCTTTTTATTGTTTTCAATTACAACTGAAAATTATTGTCGAGTGCACCACATTTATTTTTCTTACTTGCAACTAGTAAAATATCCATAGTGAACTCAAAGAATAATACTTAAGAGTAGTATTTGTTTGAATTAATCGCATGAAAAAAACTTTGGTAACTATTTGCAAAATCAGTTCACTTGAATGCTTTAAAATAGAGAAATTCAATATTTCCTTGTATTTGTTATCATTCATTCAGTACATCACTTTTTCATTTCCTTATTTATATGAAGTTTCACTCTTATTGTTATATTCAAAAAGTGTCTCATAAATATGTATCTAGCATACATTTAATTGCTCTGAAGTACAAATCAAGACATTTATCTCTCTGGTATAATTTATGTCTTTATATGACTATTTTATTTCTTGTAAAAAAGTTCAAGTAATAACAATGCTAGTTTTCATTTGTTCTTTGTTGGTTGGTTCTCCATGTGCATTTACATTTGTTTCATTAATTCCCATACAATGGCGAGGAATCGAAGCAGTTGATATTGGTGCAATTCGATTTCTTCGAGAAGCCAATAATAATTGAAAAAAATTGATTAATTCTTTACGAAATGTACGAGATGTGAGTGTGTATAGATAAAATGATGTAACTGGAAATAAATAAAGAATTAATTCTGCTAGAAAGCTAAGAAATGATCCAATAGCTAAGTGTTCATTTGATTGATCAGAATTCGTGATTGAGATTGTATTAAACACTAGATTACATAATTGAGGAATTGTAAATAAAATATAACAAATAATTTGCACGAATAATATGTGAAGAACCTGTTGATCAAGTGAATTTCGTTGGTGACCACCTAATGAAAGTTGCGTTCGTCTTTTGTGTCTTTGTGCAAGATTTCGTCGAATAAGATATGCACATGTAATCATAACCATAGCTGGCAATATACCACCTCCAATAATAACATAAAGACTATGATAAAGTGCTGCTGCCATATTGTTTATAATACCACAGAAATTTCCTTCAATTTCATAGAATATAAGTCGATGAGAACAAATAATTGACCAAAAAATAATAATTATAATAATTATGGGATATGCTATTTTTGGTTTAGCAAAGTTTCTTAAATGGATTTTGTCTGAAGTTAATGCATAACGATCAATACAAGCAAATGCAACAAACCAACGAGAAAGCATTAAACATATTTGAAATATGTAACCACGTACTTTACAAAATATAAGTGATTCTATTTGTGGATCAGGATTATTAAGACTATACAAGACTGTTCCAATACCAACAATTAATGTCATTAAATGATCTACAGATGCTGCCAAAAAGTCTAGAAAAGAGAAAACATAAACTAGAAGTGTTGCACTGACTCACAAAGAGATCATGTATTTCCAACAAAAGTTACTCTATTCTCATGCAAAATCAAGAAAAAAATATTTTACTTGGTAAATGTCGCTTTTTACTCCTCAATTCACAAAATCAAGATTAACATATTTATAAATGCTTACAGATGCAACATGAAGTGGTGCGCAATTGTCGACGAGAGAAAACAATAAGATTAAGGAAACATCCAACTATACCAAATATTAACCATGTTGGATATATATATCGAATTATCTGTTGCTGGATCATGACGAGTTTGCTTATCAAAGTTGATGACGAGAACATTCTGGTTCAATGTTCTTGTTTTCAAAAACTAACTGAAATGAAAACGTCATCGTAGATGCCTTATTGAATTTGAGAATCTAGAAAAAATATGAGAACTAACAACAAGACTCATCGGATTTATGTTCTTTCTTTTTTCTATATACTTTTCATAGAGAAAAAAATCTGTCGGGCATGCTTACGAGCTTTTTCAGAATAAAATCATCGTACTTTTCTCAACAAAGAAAAAGAACGCATTATATTATAAATAGACTATGATCAAGATATACCGCCTTTTTTCAATAGACTTGTATAGTTTAATGTTCATTGTTTCCTGTCTTTACTATTTCCTTCTTTATCCTAAACAATTCACGCCAGGATCATTAAGAAAAGAAAATTCACGCAAAGTTCGATACAGAAATTTGTTGAAACAGAAAAGCTAACTTTAAAATGAAGTAGACTATCGTAGAATATACCTACGTCATTGTCTATAATTATCATATTTAGTGGATTCTTAGTAAGTACATCGAATGCATACATAAAACGAAAGATACATATTAAAATCTATAAAAATATACACAGCAATTATCAATACATATGAAATGTTGTCATCGAAAAGCTGTACAGAGACTAAAGCGAATAAGAAAAATTACATTCAGATTCGATTCGACTCAGGCTATGTTTAAAAATATATTTTTATTTCCGTATATTGCCTATTACATCCTAATGTTCTAATTCGACCAATATTTTCTCGATGAAGATTCTGTTTTTACGACTAATGTATGGAGACATATTCAAAGATTATTTATTTATTTAAAACAAAATATTCGAAACCAAGTACAATATATGAAATAACCGTAGCTACAACAAGTCATTAGGAACGAACTCATGAAAAGTGAGTTAATTTATGCTTGCACAATCGATATTTTCATCTGTACTGAGTTGGTCTATGAAAACGTATCGAATGCTCAGTAATAGAGTAATGTAACGAAAAAATCAAAAGCTCTTCTAAATAAAGCACCTTCTATTAAATAAATAAATTAAACAGATACAATATAACGAATCTGCAGAAGTCACGTGACTTTCCGTATTTTATCCAAAAAATAACGCATGTTTCTCCAATATTTATATGTATTATTATATGCTTGAATTTTTTTGAAGACAAAAATGATTACACTAAAAGGTCGTTAAGAAGATGTACTTAGGGTAAGCCAAAAGTTCGTAGAATGGTGGTTAAAGGACCTGGTCGGATAAGGTAGTCTATTCAGAAATGAAAAACCAAATATGCTATATGGTAGAGCTTTTTGAGGCGCGTCGAATGGTATATAGTAAATCCTGTTTTCATAAGACTTTGAAGGAACTAGAGCCAATTTACTGATAGACAATTACGCACTCACACTCACACCCACCCATGCCCACACTGACAAGATGACCGGATATGTTACATATATGAGGTTGTAGCCTGTCAAAAACTCTACAAAATCGTATGTGAGAAAAAATATTTTACAAATACTTTCGACTAATCCCAAGAACCACAATATTCAGTAACCTATCATACTTGGGTGAGAGTAGGAGTGTGGGTGCGTAGCCGCCTATCAGTAAATTAACTCTAATTTCTTCAAAGTCTTATGGAAGCAGGATTTACTACATACCATTCGACGCGCCTCAAAAAGCTCTGCTATATAGTATATTTGGTTTTTCATTTCTGAATAGGTTACTTTATCCGACAAGGTTCTTTAAAACTGTTCTACGAACTTTTGGTTTACTCTAAGTACATATATATAAACTGAAGCAGCATGAAAAGTTTCAATCAAGTAACAGGTGTTTAAACTGTATTATGCGTCTGTGCTATTTGATTACGAGTCCACATTTAACATTACTCTTGAGGACAATTAGGAAAGATTGCCTTCTTCTGTAAACTGTTATCTGTTTTCTTTGCATATGTCCAACTTAATTGTTGAACTATCGAATTGCGTGAAATATAAAGTATTAATAGAATTAGTCTCAATTTCACCTTTCCATGTGAGAGTTTGAACTTGTTTATAAAAACGAACATTACTCTTTTATTATAAAATGTTTCGATTGACTTTAGTCGAAATCATAGTAAATTCCAATTACAAAAAAATCTCAAATTTTTTTCTATCATTACATGACAGATAATTCAAGCTAAGTAACATTACTGCAAGCTTCTAGATTAAATATCTGTGACGTGTAGCTAAAATTTATTTTTACATATTTAATTGAAGAAAAATAATTTGTAGTTTTGGTATTGAATTAAACTAAAAACTTCATTTTAATATGAAAAAAATATAGAAACGATATCCATATTTTTAAGGTTGAATTTTCGATCAAAAGATTTATTTCTATCCAAAAATTATATAAGATTGAAATGAATTGTTTCATTCAATCTGATTCAATACTATACACATCATTTCTATATTATTTTTCTACTAAAACCAATCTCCCACTCTGATATCTCAACGCGTCAAATTAAATTTCCATGTAATTTTTTTCACAGCCATTTCATTTCAATTTTCTGACAATAAGAAGTTACCATATCATATTTGGGTCGCGATTATTCAATAATGGCCAACTTTTATGTTGGCTTCTTCCCACTTTGTCGTGCTTAACGATTGGTGAAGCGCTATTGAAGTAGAGACATATGAAAATTATCATTAGAAAAAAAGATTTAAAGAAATTAATTATTGTGCCGTCTTTATGATTGACTGACACTTTCGCAACAACAATTGAGCGTAAAATTAATTTTTTCTGCTCTCTTGTTTGTTACGTTCATAATTTCCTCAAACATTGTGAATATTAACTCTTTGAATATCGCCGACGCAGAAATGTTTCCGGAGCTTCATCTTTGCGTGAACTAAAATAATCATTCATAGTGTATATTTTTTACGCGCATTTGCGTAAAAACAAACTTTAGATATCTGCGCTTCTCAAATCGCTATTTTGTTTAGGCATGCTACAGAATCGTTCCGTAAAAAACGAATAAATTGATTACAAAATCGTTTCTTCCTTTTCTTGTGTCGATATCCAAAGAGTTAATTATGTCTAAGATCCTGATCACCTTCCTTATTCATTCTTGTTGATGCTACATATAATATAGACACAAAAGATGTTTCATTTATTTATACTAATGAGTTTAATTAATCCGATTATATGATGTTGATGAAGAAAATGAATTAGAAAATCATTCAAGATTGTTACTTTTTTTTCCATGGGAGAAAGGTTTATCTTTGCGATCAGTCAAGATATATTATGATTTCGTAAACATACAAATTGTACTACGATATAGCCACACCTATAATGCTCAAATAAATAGTTATCCTTTTTTTTCGTATGATATTTTATTTTAATATATGAACTAGCTGGTTACGCATCTAAATAGTTAGTGCGCACACATAGCCTTTTAGCTTCAGTGCGATGTTAGCTTTAGAATTTAGCAATTTCAATTCGACTTATACAAATATGGTTAGACTGTGAACGAGATCAAGAGCAGACTCGAGGGGAGGGAAATAAGTTTTTAAGGCTTTAATTTTTGGCTACGCTACTAAGACATAGTATTCGTTTTCACTAATTCATATTCTAATATGTGAATGGATAAATTCTGGAGCGACATTAGAAAATGATGTTTGGAAGTATTTTGATGAGCCAGCAAACCAACATATTAATTTTTGTACATAGCATTTTCATACAAGACATTTATTATTCTACCACAGAAAACACATAAGTTAAAAAGACTCTTCATTATTTTTGGTCAGAACATACCTCAATAAGACTTAGTAACATCCTATGTTCATACTTTAAATATGATTCATGGGCCAGGTCGAATTTTGTGACAAATTAGCATTGATAAAAAATACTATTCAAATAAACATACGTGTAAAGACCCTTTCTTCTTTTTGGTTGGTGCTTGCTAAGACAAACTAGATTTTAATTGAATATACTAGCAAACTATACAATATTTTTAATTCAACTAGGTTTTGATTGAAGTGAAACATAACAACATACATGTATAAAATCAGTTCTTTATTCTTATCTTTCTCGGCTGTTTTGTGTTTAAATCTTTTAAACACTGTTTAATTTTGCCTAAATCTCAACTTTGCCTGACACATCTTAAGCAACAAAATTAAGTGATTGATACAACACTTTTTGAGTGCCTATACTCGTAATGAATGTAAACAGATAATCAAAAAGATAATAACAGAGTTACTAGCCAGAAACAGAAAAGTATTCAAATTGTTCACTGATGTATAAGAAACTAAATAATTTCATCAAGATTATTTCAAAAAAAGAGGAAATGAGATAAAGAAAAACACTCAACTCCTTAGCAGTGGCGTAACCAGGATTTTTAGATCAATGGGCAAACTTCTCTTGTGCTCGAAAAAAATTATGGGCAAAATGGGCAAGATTTTCATTGATGGGCAACAAATTTGTTGACTCAATCAAGTACTGATAATGTAAAAAAAACACAGAAAAATTAAATGAGATTCTTTTAATCAAATATGCATAAAACTCAGATCTTAAGCCTCCCCCCACCCCGGCCCTCAAAACAAGTCAATTTTCGTCAAAAATATGAAAAATGAGATAATTGTGTTAAAACATAGTCCAAAGTCTGCCCTTTCAAAAAAGATATAGCTTTTTA